CCCCCCTCCCCCAAAGAAGATGTTTAAAAATCACTCATCCCTACCTGGAAAGGGATTTTGAAGGCAGGAATCGAGCTCTGTTAGGCACATGACACAGCAGAATAACTCTGCTCCTGAAGTTACCTCAGCAGGGAACTTCATTCATACTTCTCACTGTTGAGAAAAAGAAAAAAGTTCCATCTTTCGACAGCTTTACCCTCCTCATCTTAAAATGTGTCAGTATTAAGACACAGGCCAGTTGCTTACTCTTTACTTTTATTTAATGCAGTGATCTTCTGACAGTGATTAATAAAAGCCTTCGTGATGAAGGCGGCTTGCAATTAAATGTTTTCTATTCAAACACATGGATGTAAGACAGTATTGTATGCAAGTACCATACGTGTATGTATTAAATTATGTTTTATACAACACAAGGTGTCAATTTGTAGCAATTACTCCACATTTCCCTTCTTACTTGCAGTTGGAGGTGCTCACTTAACAGTCCTGAGTCCAGCTACATTCCCAGATCATGGGAGCTACACATCAGGTGGCACGTCTGTCCTCTGGCCCGTGCATCAGCTGTCCCAGCGTTGTACAATCCTGCACACGTGGACAGCTTTATCCTGTAAATTCATACTTACTACCATCTAGGTGGTGTTGTCCCAGGTGTGACTTCCCTCTGTGTTTACCTGATTTGACCTGAAAATTGAGAAGCTGCAAAGACAGCTCGTCTTTTGCTTCTTCCCAGTTGGATGAAAGACACTTCCAGCTTCCCTTTCCAGAAATTTTAATTTGAAATAGAAAAGGCTGAGGCAACAGCAGAAGTAACTCAAGTCTGTTGCTATGCAAAGCTTCCGTGGAAAGCTGCTGCGTGTGCTGTATCTCCCACACCTTTTTCATTCAGCTACCGGCTGGGATTATCTGTGCCAGCCAGATGTTCTGCAGAAACTACTCCAGGCACTGCAACAACTTCTGCCAAAGTCATTGGGCTTGATGGGGATTGTCACTTGTATCATCTTGTCTGTTCCCCTGTGCTTGCTACTAAAGGACATCCTCACAGCACCAACTTCAGCCTGTTCTTGGAAAAAGCGACTCCAAGATTTAAGGCAGAGAAGGTACTTCCAGTCACCCAAGGTGCATTTGGGACAAAGCCCAACAAATAGACACTAGTGGAGATGAAGTGCTTTGTCATTACATCTTTGTCACCATTCTACTCCCACTGATAAGACCTAAGGGCAGGGGAGAGGGAAACATCATCTTCAGCCTCATAAAAATCTCTTGTTATGGTGGCAAATGGACCACAGATATTCTCACAGTTCCAACTGTTCCTGGAAGTCTGTCACAGCATCCTGGTGGGGTTGTCCCTTTGCACTCCCCCTTCTCACCACGTACTTGGAAACAAAGGTTGAAAGTTTAGCTAACACGCAGCTGAACCTCTCCCTCATACATAGTCAAAAAGAAAACTAAAAGCAAGTGAAAACAGGTCCCTGAACAGCAGCATTTGGTGATGGGAGACATCCAGGATGCCCCGTTATCCACACCAACTGTCAGTCACTCTCTCAAAAAGCAAACTAATTAAAAAGAGAGAATATTAAAAAAAAAAAAAGAAGCCTTGAGAAGATTCAACATTTATTGAAAGTGCAATAAAAATAAACAGTTCTCCTGTCCCTGAGACAAGGGATCAGAAAAACCAGCCAGGAAATACAGCCAAGGTAGGTCATTGTGCTTTTGTTCAAGCCCTTCTGTTCCACACTTGGAGCTGGCACTCCAGGCACTAACACCCCAACCATGCAGCAAGTCCATCCTGCAACAGAGACCTAGGAGGACATCAACCTCAGCCCCAGGCATGCTCTGGAGGTTCAGGCACTGGCACTTAGACCCAAGGCTCCCCACAGAGCACACCTCCAGACGCTGATGGATCCTGCAGGAAGGGGTTCTTTGGCAGGACTGTAAGGCTGGAACAGCAGGAAGCACTGGCAGTCACAACTCAAGAACTATCAACAGAGCTGGAATATTCCACTCAGTGACACACTCATCTTCATGGCACTGGCCAAGTCAGAAACACTCCTACAACACCCCTACTCAGCAGACACAACACTTGCCTTGTCAGAGAGTTGCAAGGGGTAGGGAAAAAAGAGGTCATGCAGCAAGGTAAGGGCAGAGCTGCCTCAAGCTTAGAGGGGCCCAGCTCAGAAAGCTCAGCTCAGATGAAGATCTGAGGCTGTTCCTTCCTCGGGGTGGCTAAAAACACAACTTTCTTACACTTCAGCACCCAGCAGTGAGGTGGGATTTCACTTTGCTCAATGTTCAGACCCACACAGTCCAAGATGGAGATGCTCACCTCCATCTCTCAAAGCTGCTGTGAAATCCACGTGCAGAGCAGCTGTCAGACTCCCAGGCACACACACACACACGCACACACACTCACTGTACCCCAGCAGCAGGGACTGCTCAGTGTGCTTTGGCAGGGTTGCATAGAAATCTAGAGCTGGTACAGCCAAAAGAAAGCATGAGAAGAAGAATCTAGAGGTGCAAATACCTGGGTCCAGGCAGTGCTCTCTATTTCTCACCCTCCCAGGCAGCAAAGTTACTCAAGGAGTGAGTCTAAAAACACTTCTAGCTTCGAAATGATTGACCTAATGAAAACACTGAAGTGTACTAACATTTTACTAACGCCCTAAGTGGGCAACACCCTGGGAAAGCTCCTAAACAAAGAGTCATTTCTGTTCCTTTTAGCAATTTGTATGTAAAAAATAAGAATCTTAAATTAAAAAAACCAAAACAAAACAACAACTGAGCCTTGATGCCCTAATGAAAGTCCAGAGGCACTTCCACATAAATATCAACCGACTGATCCAGGGGAGAACGGGAGAAGATCCTTCTCATGAATAAGTTAGGTCAAGGCATGTTCTAAGGCGCAGACTCTGCTTGCTTCTTCCAGTCAGCTTCTCGCTTCCTCGCTGAATCCAAGGTGCTCGGGGAAAGCAAGACAGGCAAAAACCAAATTGTCCTCAGTTGCAGAACTTGGAAAGGGTGGACGTAAACACTGTAAATCCTGTATCCAAAACAAGAGGGAAAAAGGGTGGCATGGTTTAGAACTAGGAGAAAAGTGCATGGATGAGGTTATAGAGCTGAGACTCCCCAGCATATGAAGTCTCTCCTGCGTTTGCATGCATAGCACACTTCTTCTCCAAGTCTGACAGTTTCCTGACATAACAGCCCGAACAGCAGCTCTCCCCCCTCACTGGTAACACACTGTCAACGCATTTTCCTGTTGAGATCTCATTACCCCATTTCCCCCCCGTTCTCCCATCAGCAGCTGGTCACAGCCACATCTTTAGGCTCTGTCAAATTCCATCAAAGCAGAGCTGCCTTCCTTGAGGCAGGCAAAGCCACAGAGACCTGCAGGAGCTGGGTCAAATGCCACATAAACACACGGTGGTGACACTCTCAGCTACTCAAGAGAAGCATTCCTACCTGTACAGTCTCCGTACAGCTCACCTCCGGCTCCTCTATCGCCCCGTGTTACTCATCCCTGAAACCTTTGGGCTTTTGATGTTAAGGTTCTCGTAGACGGAAGCTGATTCATCATCAACCCTGTCAAGAAACAAAGCCTTGTTATGAACAGCCTCACTGCTCTGGATCTTTTCCCAGAGGCAAGTGGCCAGTGGGAAGCAGGTAATGGCCCAGCCAAGCTCCCTTTTTCCCTCCCCAGCCTTGTAGGTAGGATGACATCAGGTTACTCGCTCGCTGTTTTCTCTCCCTCTGGCTGGGCCAACCCTCCTAGGGTCAAACAGAGCTTGTGGATGGAGCCTTGAACCTTCCTCCACATGTCAGCCTTTCATGGATGCAAAGCTTCTGCAGGATCAGCAGATACAGTCCCTGGTATTTCCTACTTTTACTTTCTCTACAGACCCAATTTCTCTGGATTTTCCAAAAATCTAATGGAACAGGTTCCCAAATCTAAGGGCTGCTCCAAAGGTAATATCATAGAACCATTAAGGTTGGAAAAGACCTCTAAGATGATCAAGCCCAGCTCCAAAGCAGGTTTGAAACCTCAAGCTAAACTCATGGGAGCTCTCTGGAGCTGACAGCACCAGCCATGAAGAGCTCACCTTGCATGGCCCAGTCCCACACAGTCCTCCCTGCCCTCATTTATCCAGAGCTGCACCTTCA